GTCGTAAAAACGTGTGCGCTCGACGCTTGGCTACGACGTGTTGCTTGTGTGCGAGCGTGCGCGCGCAGACGGACTATCCCCTCTCCAACCCCCACCATCGCTGCAGCATACGGGTAAACGTTCCCGGCTGGCATCACTGCTTGGGTGCGGTGTGAAGCTAACACTGCTAACAGTCCCCCCACTTAACCCAACCGGTCCGAACGCCACAGTATAACTACCCAGATAGCACAAAGACGTCTAAAAGACGACTAAAAGATTTTCGTCATGGATGTCTTTTAGGTAAAGCCAATAGTCGACAAAAAAATGACTAAAAGACGTCTTATGTCCCACTAAATGTCGACTTATAGCCGAGACTGAAAGATGGCTAAAAGACGTCTGATATTAGGCATCTTTTAGTCGTCTTTTACAATTGCATTATGGATATTTTTTTGTTTTTATCTTTGTATTTATAAGGTGTAAATAAAATTTAAAAAATAATTTAAAAATTAACATTTTATTATATGTATATGTGTATTTATACATGTATATATATATTTCTTATTGTTGAATAAATACGTTTATTCGTGCTTCAAGGTAGAATGTAGCCAGTATGATACGATAGACATGTGCAACAAAGAAAAGAGAGAGAGAAGCGAAAACAAGGAATGCCCTTGTCTTGAATTTACGGATGTGACGTCGACTATCGACTGTTCCCGAATAATCCAGATCATTCTAGATCGTCCTATCGATCATGCGCGAATAGCAAACGTCGATATCCTTCCGCCCAAAGCATGCTCACTCGTGCTTGAGCCGTCGTGAAGAGCACACGTGTATACCGTATCTATCTCGCAATAAATTCGTATTTGTGTTAACTCGTTTTTATTCGTTATCAAGACCACAACCATTCAACAGGTTATGGGCCCAGAACACTATTATAGTGCGCGTTGATAACGATAGACAAAATACGTGTTCGCGAAAAATTACGGACTCTCATCTCCTGTGACGAAACACGTGTGAGTAAGTGCGATGGCATTGGAAATCCTTGGAAAAGGGATCACGAAATTCGACGGCTCGGATTTTCAAACGTGGAAGTTTGAGATCAAACAGCTACTCATCGCTCACGGCCTGGACGATGTAGTAGAAGGCACGAGGGGGAGACCGGCGGGAGACGAAGCTACCGCAGCGGTCAAAGCGTGGATAAAGGATAACGCCAAGGCCATGAGTCTGATCGCATTATCGCTGGAAAGAGAGCAGTTGAGAGGACTGACAACATATGCAACGGCGAAAGACATGTGGACAACCTTGGTCAGTATCTACGAACAGAGATCAGCTTCGAGCAAATTGCTGCTGCTCCAGAGATACCACGAATACCGCATGAAATCGGGAGACTCGGTGATACAACATGTGACGAGTGTGCAAAAACTAGCTAGTCAACTCAAGGATGCCGGACATGAAATGAACGAGATCGACGTAATGGCAAAAATATTAGGGTCATTACCTCCGAAATACAGCATACTGGCTACGGCGTGGGACAGCGTGCCGGTAGCCGAACAAAAGGTCGGAGTACTACTAGAAAGACTAATTAAAGAAGAAAGTCGAATGTCAGAAGAAGATAATGCCACAAGTGCCCTTGCGGCACTAAATGTGAACGGAAAGAAAAATAGTACTGCACGTGTCGAGCAAGACGAAAAAGGAAAGAAGAGAAACGAACGGAGTACGAAATCGTCTGTGGAATGCTATTATTGTAGAAAAAGAGGACATTTCGCGCGAGACTGCTATAAGAAGAAGAAGGACAAACAGTGCGGATCCAGAAAGAGAAGTGACGATAACTGCGCGTTCACAGCAACGTTGTCGAAAACAATTGAAAGTGGTCAGATCGAAGAAATGATGTCCCTGGACATGAAAGATATTTGGATCACAGATAGTGGTGCATCTTGCCACATAACATACCGAAGAGAGTGGCTCACAAACTTCAAGACAGTGAACGGTGAAGCGGTGTCGTTAGGTGACGGCAAGCAGTGCAAAGTGAACGGTAGAGGTACTGTGATTATTAATAAACTTGTTGACGGACAATGGCAAGAATCAAGAATCGAGGATGTTTTATACATGTATGTACCTCAAATTCAAAAGAACTTGTTCTCAGTGGGTGCGTGCGCGAAGAAAGGTTTCCGGATAATTTTCAACGAGCACAGTGTCGTACTCAAGAAAGACAATAAAATTCAAGCAATCGGTTATAAACAAGCAAATGACATTTACAGACTCCTTTTCAAGGTGAGCACAAGCGACAAAGACATTGAGAACGAGGCAAACTTGACTGCCACCACATTACAAACTTGGCACGAGCGATTGGGACATATAAATGTGAAACAGTTGAAGCGCGCAAGTGGAATAGTGCAAGGTGTCAAGATAACCAGCAACAAGGACTTCTTCTGTGAATCTTGTCAATTTGGAAAAGCCCACAAGTTAAAATTTGACAAGAGAAGTGATAAAACTAGTCGAATGCCCGGTGAATTAATTCACACGGACGTATGTGGACCGTTTTCCGAACCATCCATTGGAAGAGCCAGATTTTATCTGCTATTCATCGATGAAGCCACGGACTACAGGGTGATCTACTTCATCAAGCACAAGTCAGACGTACTGGAAAAACTGGTGGAGTTCAACGAGAAAGTGAGGACCAAGTTTGGACGCAGCATAAAGATTATAAGGGCGGACAATGGAAGAGAATATGCTAACTATCAAACGGAAAGTTACATGAAGAAAAATGGAATTGTTATGGAAAGCACAGCACCATACACTCCCGAACAAAACGGGAAAGCGGAACGCGAAAATCGTACAATCGTCGAGAGTGCCCGTTCAATGATACAAGCCAGGAAATTGCCAACCAAGCTATGGGCGGAGGCAGTTAATACAGCGGCATATATCCTGAACCGGACACTGATTAAAGAAGGAAAGGAAGTAACCCCCTACGAAGCCTGGCACAACAAGAAACCGGATCTATCACACGTCAGGATTTTCGGCTCGGAGGCATACGCTCATATCAGCAAACAGTTTCGACACAAAATGGACAGGAAGTCGAAGAAACTAACGCTAGTAGGCTATCA